CAGCAGCAGAGAAAATAGTCTATGGCTTGGGTGGTTGGGGTCTTTGACGATTTTATGGGCCTTCTTTTCACACCGCCTGATATAGAGGTCCTGGATGGCAGGGAGCTCGGCCCAAGTGATGTACTGGGCTGTCCGCACAACCCTCTGTAGCGCCATGTGATCGAGGGTGGTGCTATTGCCATACCAAGCAGTGATGCAGCCAGTCAATATGCTCTCAGTGTTACAGCTGTAGAACCTTTTAAGGATTTGAGGGCCCATGCCAAACTTTTTCAACCTCCTGAAGGGGAAGAGGCACTGTCGCGCCTTCTTCTTGACTGTGCGTGTGTGTTTGGACCATTTTAAGTCTTTAGTGATTTGGACACCGAGGAATTTGAAGCTGTCTACCTGCTCCACTGCCACCCAGTTGATGTGGATGGGGGTGTGCTCGCCCCCCCGTTTCCTGTAGTCCACGATCAGCTCCTTGGTCTTGCTGACGTTGAAGGAGAGGTTGTTACTCCGGCACCACACAGGTCACTGACCTCCTCCCTGTAGGCTGACTCATCGTCGCCAGTGATCAGGCCTACCACTGTCATGTCGTCAGCGAACTTGATAATGGTGTTGGAGTCGTGCATGGCCACACAGTCGTGGGTGAACAGGGAATACAGGAGGGGATTAAGCACACACCCCTGTGGGGCCCCTGTATTAAGGGTCAGTGTGGTGGAGGTGATGTTGCCTACCCTCAACACCTGGGGTCGGCCCATCAGAAAGTCCAGGATCCAGACAGCCGAGGGAGGTGTTCAGACCCAGAGTCTAAAGCTTGGTGACGAGCTTGGAGGGGATAATGGTGTTGAACGCTGAGCTGTAGTCAATGAACAGCATTCTCACATAGGTATTCCTCTTATCTAGGTGGGTGAGGGCAGTGTGGAGAGCAATTGAGATTACGTCATCTATGGATCTGTTGGGGCAAATTGGAGTGGGTCTAGGGTGGCTGGGATGGTGGAGTTAATGTGTGCCATAACCAGCCTCTCAAAGCAGTTTATGATTATAGAAGTGAGTGCTACAGGGCGGTAATCATTGTGGCATGAGCCTTAGAGTTCTTAGGAACAGGGGTGATTGTGATCATCTTAAAACATGAGGGGATTGTAGATTGGGACAAGAAGAGGTTTAAAATGACCCTGAATATGCCTGCCAGCTGTTCTGCGCATGTTCTGAGAACGTGCCCTGGAATACAGTGTGGCCTGCGGCCTTGCGGCTGTTGACCTAATTAAAGACCCTTCTCACTCCGGCCTCAGAGAGCGAGATCACCCAGTCCTCTGGGTCGGTGACGGCCCTCACACACGGCTCGATGTTGTTGTTGTCAAAGTGTGCATAAAATACATTGAGTTCGTCTGGTAGAGAGGCATCGTTAGGCAGATTTACATTTAAGTCATTTAGCAGACGCTTATGCAGAGCGACTTACAAATTGGTGCATTCAACTTAAGATAGCCAGTGGGACAACCACCCTTTTTTATTTTTTTTTATGGGGGGGGGGATGACAAGTGCCTGGATTAGGACCTGTGCCGCTTTCTATGTAAGGTAGGGTCGCACTCTGCGAATGTTGTAGTGCATGAACCTGCAGGATCGGGTCACTGCTTTGATGTTAGCGGAGAATGACAAGGTGTTGTCCAGGGTCACGCCAAGGTTCTTTGCACTCTGGGAGGAGGACACAATGGAGTTGTCAACCGTGATGGCGAGATCATGGAGCGGGCAGTCCTTCCCCTGGAGGAAGAGCAGCTCTGTCTTGCCGAGGTTCAGCTTGAGGTGGTGATCCGACATCCACACTGATAAGTCTGCCAGACATGCAGAGATGCGATTCGCCACCTGGTTATCTGAAGGAGGAAAAGAGAAAATTAATTGTGTGTCGTCTGCGTAGCAATGATAGGAGAGACCATGTGAGGATATGACAGAGCCAAGTGACTTGGTGTATAGCGAGAATAGGAGAGGGCCTAGAACTGAGCCCTGGGGGACACCAGTGGTGAGAGCACATGGTGCGGAGAAAGATTCTCGCCACGCCACCTGGTAGGAGCAACCTGTCAGGTAGGACGCAATCCAAGAGTGAGCAGCGCCGGAGATGCCCAACTCGGATAGGGTGGAGAGGAGGATCTGATGGTTCACAGTATCAAAGGCAGCATATAGGTCTAGAAGGATAAGAGCAGAGGAGAGAGAGTTAGCTTTAGCAGTGCGGAGAACATCCGTGACACAGAAAAGAGCAGTCTGAGTTGAATGACCAGTCTTGAAACCTGACTGGTTTGGATCAAGAAGGTCATTCTGAGAGAGATAGCAGGAGAGTTTGCTAGAGACGGCACGCTCAAGAGTTTTGGAGAGAAAAGAAAGAAGGGATACTGGTCTGTAGTTGTTGACATCGGAGGGATCGAGTGTAGGTTTTTTGAGGAGGGGTTGGGTCTTCCTTTGTAATCCGTAATAGACAGTAGCCCCTGCCACATGTGGCGGGCGTCGGAGCCTGTGTAATATGATTCCACCATTTTCCTATAGTTTTATTTTACTCGTTTGATGACTCTGCAGACATCATAGCGGGCCTTCTTGTACTTATTCCTCTCTTCGGCCGTAGCATCAGGGTTGTCTGCGATAGCTCTGTGTGCGGTAGCCCTGCTCTTTAGTTTAATGCCAACCTTGGTGTTAATCCAGGGCCTTTGATTGGGGAAGAAGCGAACCCTCACCGTGGATACAACGTCGCCGATGCGTTTTCTAATAAGCCGGTGATGGAGGTGGTTAGCTCGTCGATGTTATCAGTGTAGTCTCTAAACATATTCCAATCAGTGCTAGCAAAGCAGTCCTGAAGCATAACCTCTGATTCTGGTGACCATTTCTCAACGAAGTGAATCGCGGGTACTTCCTTTTTCAGCTTCTGCTTTTAAACAGGAAGCAAGTCATGATCTGATTTGCCGAATGCCAGACGAGCGAGGGCCTTCTATGCTTGCTTGTGGGACCCAGACCTCAGTGTGGGGGGTAGGAGGTGGGGGTAGGAGAGAAGCGGGGCTGTGTGATCCAGACTGGCCCAGCTTGTATGCCTGGTGATGGGGCCAGGCTGCCAGGCCATGCCCTGGTCTCCCTCTGTCCTGCAGGAGGCCTGGGGGCCATATGCTCCTGGACAGCGGCTCAGTCTGCTCCAATTAGGGCTCCCACCAGGCCTGACCAGGCCGGGCAGGCAGGCAGCAGCTGCCTACACGGGGACTGGCAGGTGGAGCAGACAGGGAGGGAGGGAGGAGGGAGGAGGGAGGCGGTAGGGGTCAGGGGAATACACTGAGAGGGTTGGCGGATGGAGGGTTGGATTCAATGATGTGGGAGAAAGTGAAGGAAGATGATTGGAAAATCCAGCCTCTCTCCAAGCCATTTCACATCATTGGCACACTGCATTAATAAATGATGATGAGGAGGAGGAGGTGGAAGTGAAGGATAATGATGATGATGAATATTATGATTTACCCTTCTCAACCCACACAGGGAATGAGATCGCGCCAGTATTTGCTTATGATATGAACCCTTTTACTGAAACGAATAAACACCCCAAACCACCGTCTTGATTTCTGGTATAATTTCCTACTCCTTCATCGCTTGGATTTATTTGTGTTTGTTTGCGTTTCGTGTTTGCCTTGACTCTCTGGTGGCAGACGTGAGTGGCCGAGGCGCAGGAAAGCCAGTTAATGAAACATCTCTTAATTTCTTCTCAACTTCACAGTCCGTAGGGTCAACACAGCGACTCTTAGTCCCTCCACACAGTAGGATACTAACCTCAAAAATCTCTTACTAAAACTGACACCAATGCCTAACCTTGGCAAGTGTTGTGTATGTGTGTTATGGTTATTTTTGTGTTTACGATACTGAAGGATTGTGTTCTTTGACATGCGTAATGAAAACATTGTTGGTGCTTTGGGTTAGAAAAGGGAGTTAAACCTTAACTAGTTGTCCCTAGTTTTCTGTCATAATAGCGAGCCATGCAGGTGCTTCTTTCATTTAGGTCCTTTTCTGTCAGTCTGTAACAGGATTCAAGGCCTGGCCCTTGCTTTTTTCCCAGTATCCTAGATATTGGAGTGGGTTGTTGTTGCTGCAACTTTCCAACAAGACGATAATCTTTGGAGAGGTTGTAAACTTGTAAGGTCAGGAGCTAGCAGTGAAACGTGGTGGTTCAGTAGACTTCCAGGGCCCTAATCTTCTTAAGAAGGATGGACGTTATCAGAGGAATAAGACTTGAGTAATTGCTTTTCCTCTCACCCTTTTTTTCTCTCGCCCCTTGCCTATTCTCTGAAAACATCTCCCAGTGTATTGTTCTTGTCAGGACCTTAGAACTTTCTCCCCTTTGAGGGCCATCTGCTAATGTGTGTAATTAGCACTGAATTTAAAATGGACATTTGGAGAACAGCGGAGCTAGAAGAATGCTGAATGCTCCATTTAAGTTCGCTAGCATTCTGCTCCCCACTGGTTGATTGTAAGGGGTGACATCCAATGTGGTGGCCAGGGTAGGCTCTTGGGGCCCGGGACACATAAGTGGAGCCAGGGGAAGGCTGTTTTTGTTTTGACAGCAGACAGATTGCTTTTATTCATTATCTCGCCCCTGATTGCTCGCTAATGCAGACTGCTTACGGTGGACGAAACAAAAGGCTCATTAAGCAGGTGTGTTTTTGATGGCTTTCGCAATTTGGCTTCGATTCGTGCCTGTGTGCGTGTGCACGCTTGAGTGTGTTCATGTTTGTGTGAAAGAGGGAGAGAGAGAGAGAGAGAGAGAGAGTGAGAGTGAGAGAGAGAGAGAGAGAGAGAGAGAGAGAGAGAGAGAGAGAGAGAGAGAGAGAGCGAGAGCGTTAGAGGGAGGAAATTGCTCCACTCTGCTCATCCACATTATCAAGCTGCCAGCCAGTCATTTAGTCTCCCTGCTCTGGCTGACTGGCTCCTCAGGGACCAGGGTGCACCCCGTGGCCAAACAGGCTGTATGCCTTCACCACAGAGGAACAGCAGCCCTCTCCTGAGGAATGGAGAGAGACATCGGAATGGAGAGAGACATCGGAATGGAGCCCTATTCATATTTGGAGATGGTCACAGGGGCATGGAGTCAGGTTCCACAAAGCTGATAGCATTTTGGCTGAGTAAATAGTCACAAGGCTGAACTTGCTGTAGTCCGTGTACAGAGGACTCTAAGAGGGAATAGGGGATTGTTCCTCTCATCACACACACAGCCTTTACTATCATCCTCCACAGACTCCTAAAGCATTCCCAGCAGCACCCTTTTCTGGACACCTGTGGCTTGCTTTTAGAAAGGGGTCCCATCCCCAAATCTAATGGGACAGACAGACTCCATCTGGCCTGCACGCTCTCTCTCCCTCTCTCTGTAACCCCCTGCTGCTACCCATCCCAGCCCAGACGCTAACTCCTCCACACTGCATACTCCTTGTAAATGAAATGGCACCATGGTACCATGACCTCCCTCCATCCTTGTATCCCTTCCTCCCTTCCCTCCCTTCCTTCTCCACCATTTCTCCATTCCATTTCTGCACAATGTGCTCCTGTAGATTACAACATGTATTGGGACTTTAATCGCTCTGGTGGCTGCACTAACCAGGAGTGAATCTATCACCAACTCTCTCATTTGTCTGTGTTTGAGCATGACACTGAGCCGCAGCCAAGCCTGTGCTAATCTAAAGCTAGCCACACACACAGCGCCAGGGAACCTAGCTAGCTGTGGCAAGCTAACACACACACCACACTGACTTTGGTGGATGGTGGAGCCGCAATTGAAATCTCTCAGCCACAGGTTAAAACTCTTAGTCTCGCTTAGCAGAGCCAGACGAACAGGTTTTGTTTTTGTGTCAGTCACAGAGGAGCATGGAGGAGAGAAGAGGTATTTCTAGCATGCTGCACTCTCTCCAGGTGTCCCTCAATGCTCCTCTGTGACTGACAGCTCATGGCACAGACTGCATTTCCATAGCTATCTCTCTGCACCATGTCCCTAAAAGCATTAAAAGCCTCTGTGCCTGTCTGCCACTCCTCTTAACTGTAACTATATGAAGATGAGTTCAGAAGTAAGAGAAAAAAACTAAGTGTCCGCCCTGAGATTGGAAGGTTGGGAGTTTGATCCCCGGCCGAGTCGTACCAAAGACTGTAAAAAGTATTTGCTTTTTGCTTGACACTCAGCATTAAGAAGATCGATTGGGAGTAAGGCCTTGCAATAGACTAGCGTCCTGTCCAGGGGGTGTACTGCCTCACGCTACAGAAACAGGAGATAAGCGTCATGCTTCCACCTGTCACCAGAGGGCGGCAGAGACCTGTCATGGTTCCACTTGTCACCAGAGGGCAGCAGAGACCGCCCTAGAGACTATTATGACACTCATGTGTTTTCTATTACTAATTATGATTCCCTTTTAAGAGAGGTGTGTTTTCTGTTACCCTTTGTAGATGCTTGATTCGTTTGCCATGTATGTTTGTCTACCGAGTACGTTTTCGAGTCCTAGTGTTTGTTGTTTTCCCAGTTTTACTTTTACCTACTGTTTAACTTTTTCCCAGTAAAGTATTTATGTTTATTCTAAACCACTGGTTTCTCATCTGGTTCTCTTCTCTGCTCCTGGGTCCTACCTCATCATGTCACAGCAAGCTTCTGCCTCCAGCATGGACCCAGCAGAGATCAACCAGATCAAGAATGTTATAACCCACCAAGGAGCACTGCTGGGGCGGCAGCAAGAACAACTCTCCCAAATATCAGAGACTCTCCGGGCACTTACCGACTCCCTCCAACCACTGCACACCCCCAACCCAGGAGGAGCCACTGCCCAAGTCCCAGTGCTCCAGACATCGCCGTAGATGCCCCAGGGAACCTGCACCGGGAACCCAAGATCCCAGCCCCCGAACAGTATGATGGCCACCCGGCAAGATGCAAGGGGTTCCTCACTCAGTGCTCTCTGGTGTTCGAGCTACAGCCCTCCTCGTTCCACACCGATCGGGCCAAGATCGCCTATATCCTCTCTCTACTCTCGGGCAAAGCCCTGGTGTGGGCAACGATGGTGTGGGAACAGCAGCCACCATCCTGCAGCTCCATAGCATTTCTTTACACCCACAATAACATCTGCTAAATATGTGTATGTGACCAATAAAATTTGATTTGCTAACAGCCTTCACTTCCAAGTTGCGACGAGTCTTCGACCACCCAGTCGGCGGACGAGAAGACCAGTGGCCGACTTCGCCATTGAGATCTGCACCCTCGCCGTCGAGAGTGGGTGGAATAGTGAGGCACTGGTCACCGCCTTCCACCGGGGTCTGTCTAACTCTATCAAATATGAACTGGCCTCTCGGAAACTGGGAGAGGACCTTGAGTCCCTGATAACGCTGGAAATCCAAGATCGACAACCGCATCCGAGAACAAGTGAGACAGCACCCCTTTGACAGCATCCCAGTATGCCGGTTTCCCGAATACCCCAAGCTCCCCGAGCCCAGCACTCATGAGCCCTTGCAGCTGGGACGCACATGTCTGAGCCCACAGGAACGCGACAGGCACATGCGGAAAGGCTGCTGCCTCTACTACGGAGATCTCTGCCATCTCCGTTCTACATGCCCAGAGCTTACGGGAAACGCAGGGGCTCGCCAGGACAAGGGGAGACCCTGACGAGCTGTGCAGTGACTCCCAGGCTACCCAGTCACCGTCTGTCACTACCCACGACCCTACACTGGGACAACCATCAGCACCATATTCAAGCCTTCGTGGACTCCGGGGCCGCGGATAATTTCATTGATCAGGACCTCGCCAGATAATTACAAATCCTCTGCATGAAATGCCCCATCCCTCTGCAGATTCAAGGCCAAAGATGGACGCCCCATCGGCTCCGGCCAGGTGTAATATCAGACCAAGCCCATTCTACTGCAGGTCGGGGTGAACCACTCAGAGACTCTTAGATTTATTTTGATCACTGCTCCCGAGAACCCCCTTATCCTAGGGTACCCCTGGCTAGCACAACAACCCACGATTCTCCTGGCCAACGGGACACCTACTAGACTGGGGAAATAACTGCCAGATTAAATGCCTAAGACCCCCACTAAGAGGCTCTCCGCGTCACCCTGCATCCATTGAAGCCCAAGACTTCTCCCCTCTCCCTCCCGAATACTTCAACCTCTGGGAAGCCTTCAGTAGGAGGCAAGCCGCCACCCTCCCTCCTCATTGACCATATGACTGCGCTATAGAGCTCCTACCTGGCTCAACCCCTCCCCGGGTCGTCTTTACTCCCTCTCGGCCCCTGAAGCAGCAGCCATGGACAACTACATCCGGGAGTCGCTGGAGGCAGGCTTCATTTGTTCCTCAACATCCCCAGCCGGCGCAGGCTTCTTCTTCGTGGGAAAGAAGGATGGGGGTCTGTGTCCCTGCATCGATTACAGAGGGCTGAACAGGATTATGATTAAGAACTGTTACCCCCTACCCCTGATGTCCTCCACCTTGGAGCTTGCCCAAGGGGCCCAATTCTTCACCAAACTGGACCTCCGCTACGCTTACAATCTGGTGAGAATCAGGGAGAGCGATGAATGGAAAACTGCCTTTAACACCCCTAGTGGCCACTGATTATTTAGTCTTCCAAGCATTGGTCAATGAGACTCTTAGGGACATGTTGAATCGTTTCGTCTTTGTTTCCCCCAACGACATCCTGATCTTCTCCAAGACCCTTCTTGAACACATCTTGCATGTCCGCCAAGTCCTGAGATGCCTCCTGCAGAGTCAGCTGTACATCAAAATTGAGAAGTGTGAGTTCCACATATGCCAAGTCTCATTCCTGGGCCACATTATAATTTTTTTTTATCTCTACCGCCGGCATCTAAATGGACCCCGTAAAGGTTAAGGCGGTCACCGACTGGCCCCGTCCCGCCTTACTCAAACAATGCCAGCGGTTCATCGGGTTTGCAATTTTTACAGATGTTTTATAAGCAACTTTGGTGTGGTGGCAGCGCCACTCACAGCCCTAACCCATCAATCCCAGACCCAGTTTTGCTGGACACCCAAGGTTGACAGGGCATTCGAGGGGCTCAAGGGACGTTTCACTTCCAGACCCATCCTCGTTCATCCTGATTCTGCTCGTCCCATCGTGGTAGAGGTGGACGCCTCGGATACCGGAGCAGGGGTGGTCCTTTCACAGCGGAACAAGGGGGACAGGAAACTGCACCCATGTGCCTTTCTCTCCAAGCGGTTCTCGCCAGTGGAACGCAAATACGATGTAGGCAACCGGGAGCTCTTGAGACCACGGTCCAACAAGCTCAGACCCGAGAACCTGACCCCGGTGGGGGTCCCACTAACAGCCCGTTCTCGAGTACTACAATGGGGACACTCCTCTAAATTAATTTGGCATCCAGTGGTTAATCAGACACTGGAGTTCCTTAGGTGGAAATTCTGGTGGCCCAACATGATTGAGGATGTGAGATCCTTTCTTACGACCTGCTCCATCCGTGCCCAAAGCAAGTCCTCACGACCTGGCTGGGTTGCTCCAACCTTTGCCCATCCACAACTGGCCCTGGTCCCACCTGTCCCTAGACTTGATCACGGGGTTACCTCCATCCCAAGGGCTTACCACTATCCTGGTGGTCGTCGATCGGTTCCCCAAGGCAGCCCATTTCATCGCACTACCCAAGTTCAAGTGTCAGTTCGGGTTGCCCCCCCCCCCCCCCCCCCATTTCCTGAACAAGAGGCCGAAGCGGGGGTGCCCTCAGCAGAGGCGTTCATTCAACGATTTCGCTGCACCTGGACCAGAGCGCGATCCTCCTTGCTCCACTCCTCTGTCCGACAACAACACCAGGCAAACCGGCACCGAAGGCCCCTGCGGCTCCTCTAACCGGGTCAACGGGTGTGGCTGCCCACCCGTGATCTCCCCTTAAAAGTAGACTCTCGGAATCTTGCTCCACGCTACATGGGACCATTCAAGATCCTGAGTCGCATCAACCCGGTCACCTATCGTCTCCAGCTCCCCAGGTTAATGAGAGTCTGTCCATCCTTCCATGTCTCAAGCTTGTAAGGACCAGTCCCTCTCTCCCCCCACACCTACCCCTCCACCCTCTCAACTTGTTGGCGGCTGCCCGGACTACACTGTCCGTCGTCTGTTGGAAGCACGTCGGGTCCGGGGCACCCTGCAGTACCTGGTGGACTGAGAGGGCTACGGCCCGAGGAGCGGGCGTGGGTGCCTGCCCGGACATCCTGGACCCGGAATTTGTTAGGGACTTCAACCAATGACTTGGTGGTCACCCTGGATCCACGGCTGGAGCCGCTCCTAGAAGGGGGGTACTCTCATTGTCCCACCTGTCACCAGAGGGAGGCAGAGAGCTGTCATGGTTCCACCTGTCACCAGAGGGTGGCAGAGACTGCCCTAAAGACTATTATGACACTCAGGTGTTTTCTATTACTAATTATGATTCCCTTTTAAGAGGTGTGTTTTCTGTTACCCTTTGCAGAAGCTTGATTAGTTTGCTGTGTGCATTTGTCTCCTAAGTTTTTGAGCCCTAGGGTTTGTTGTTTTCCCAGTTTTACTTTAAACCTACTTTTTAACTTTTTCCCAGTAAAATATTTACGTTTATTCTAAGCCACTGGTTCCTCGTCTGGTTCTCTTTTCTGCTCCTGGGTCCTACCTCATCATGTCACAATAGGCTCCTGCTCCTATTAGCCACTCTGGTTCACACAAGCCAAGGCTTACTAGGTCAGTCCAACACAACATTCTTCTGTCTTGTCTTGTCTATCCGTGAGGGGTGTGTTCATGATACGAAAGCTTTATTAAAGCTTTTCTCTGCTTCAATGGATGGAGAAATCTCACTGTTATCTCTCTCACGTCTATCCTCTCGCTTGCTCTCTCTCCACAGAATCTCATGGGATGGATCTGTTTGCGGTAGCAGTGCATGAGTTTGGTCATGCTATTGGCCTGGCCCACACCTCAGCCATAGAGTCCATCATGAGGCCGTACTACCAGGGTCCTGTGGGGGACCCACTCAAGTACGACCTCCCCTATGAGGACAAGGTCCGTGTCTGGCAGCTCTACGGTACGTTCTCCAGCTTTCCTCTACTATAACCAACGTTTCTCTTTCTCTTCTCCCCCTCTCCATCTCGCATATTCCAGTCATCTCCCTCTCCACCAATCTTTCCTATTTCAGTCATCTTTATCCTTCGCTCCACACATCTGAACACCTCTTGCTACTTCTCCATAACTCTTCTGTACCTGCCCCCCCACACGCCTACCCCACTTACACTAGACACCGATCACTGGACTGGCATCCTGCCATCCCTTCTATGTACACATGCTGTGCGGAAAATCCTAGAGATATACATTAGCTGTCTAATGTACAGGTGCAGACCGCCCGCTCTCCCACCCACCACCACCCCTCAACCACTCACTGCAAATGTCTCCTATAATTACCCATGATTCCTAGTGGGACGTGGCCGCCCATCACTCAGCGCGACACGGCGGTACAGAGCAGGAAACCCAAGGCCTCGACACAGGAAGCAAAATGTATTTGTTTATATGCAGGGATTATTAATTTAATTAGCTTGCTGGTTACAGTGGCAGGGAGTGGAGAGAGGGCTTTAATTGGTCATCCCTGTGGCACAGGCCCTGCTTATCACCTCGTGCCATGCTACTGAGAGAGGGAGGAGAGTATAGGAAGACAGATACTTGAGGGGCGACGAGAGGAAGACTGATAGGTGAGAGGGGATAAGGGGCTGGGGGAGAAGGGAAGAGACTTGAGTTAGCGGGCAAGGTAGGACAAAGAAGAAAGGGAGGGTGAGAGAGTGGGGAGAGAGAAAAGGAAGGGAAGGAGGGAGAAAACATGTTGAATCATGCTGGGGCTGTATAGCTGCGTTTACACAGGCAGCCCAATTCTGATCTTTTGCCCAATTATTGGCAAAAGAGCTGATCTGATTGGTCAAAAGACCAATTAGTGAAAAAAATATCAGAATTGGGCTGCCTGTGTAAACGCAGCCTATGTTTTGAATATCTGAATGTGGGGTTGTGTGTCAAGGTGCTGTTGACTTGACCCTTGCCCTTTCATCTTTCCCAGGGGTGAGAGATTCAGTGTCTCATACGGCCCGTCCTGATGATCCCTCCCAGACCGCTGACCCACCTGTACTACTGGACCTCCCTGAGAACAGATCTATTGTCCCGTAAGTCACACATATACTCACACACTCACATGGACACATAGGCAGACACATTAAATCTACACACCCCTGTATACCTCCAAACTGAAGCTCAGAAACTTCCAGACCTATTTTCTCTCCCTCAGTTGTCTATCTGTCCTGGAGGTCAGCGAATTTGGACATTGTCACAATGCCGCAGCAGTGAGAGATAGCAGTCCTTATTTCACCTTGTTCCCCAGTCACAGTAAAATACAGCCGAGTGTGTGCTCAGAGTACAAAATGAATCCATTTATACCACACCCAGTCTCCAGATGACAGCACTCAACACCAAGTGTCAGAACAGAAGCACCGAACAAATAATAGATTTTCATAATTGACTCGTAGCAAGTGGATACTTTGTCCTCTTTTATGTTAACTTTTTTTCTCCCCTGTGTAGCTTTCCCTTCTCATTTCTCCTCCACTCCATCTTGCTGGATGATGTGTGGAGAAGGTGGATTTAGCCTGACAAAGGTCACTAATATAGTCGTCTCTGCGCAGCTCCTCTGTTAATAAGCCCTGAATAGAAATCTTTGTTAATAAGGATCTAGGCGAGTAGCGTCTCACAAAAGCAGCCCTGTCGTGGTAATTGACTCGTCATTTGCAGCCAGGACACGTCAGGCGCTTAACTCGGTCGTTAGCACTGGGATAATGTGTGTGAGGACCTCGGTCTCCTGCGTCAGGACGATAACATCTCCTCTGATGTTTGGCTTGTTTTTTAATTGACACGCATACGCAGTAAATAAACACACAAATATAGTGTGCATGGGCGTTTTGCACACATATTAGTGACACGTACACACATTACGTCTGACTGGGATAGAGAAGTGTGTGGTGTACATTCTGTTAGTTTCTTAATTTTTTTTTCTTTCGCTTTTCTCTCTTTCCTCTTTCCTCTCTCTCTTTCTCTTTTGTCGTAGTATGTCTGTCTGTCTGTCGTGTCAGTTTGTCTTCTGTTTCGTATGTAGTATGTCTGTCTGTCTGTCTGTCGTTGTCTGTTGTCTGTCATATGTCTGACCAGTCCTGATTCTTATGAGTCCATGTCCTGTCCTCTCTCAGTCAAGGGATTGTCTAGGGTCTTACAAATCTGTACGTCTATGGTCAATCTTTGTACTGTCAAACCTGTAAGGGAATTCTGTTGTCTTCTCTGTTTGTTTGTCTATACTGTCTTTCTTGTCTTCTATTTCCTTAGGAGTATGTCTGCGTCTGCGGGTAGAAGATGTGTCTTTGGTCGGCTAGATTCCAGGTTCTGTCAGTAGCTGCTCAAGTCTGTAGTCTGTTGTCTAGGTCGACCTGGTGGACCGACAGTCTGTCTGTCTTCAGGTCTGTCATGAACTAGCATGGTCGTGTGGCAGTCGGAGTTCCGTTTATACCATTGTTATGTACTGAAAGGATGTTGTCTGTATTTAAGTTTCTGGTTGTGGGGTCGGTCTGAACGTTGTCTGAGAAAACATGAAAAGGTTTCTGTACTGTTTTGTACTTAAAATGTACCCATGTCTGAAGATATTGTAATGTACCCATGACAAATGTACGTGGTTCTTCATATGTTGTAACAAGGTAATGTAAGACCAAAAGCCAAAACATGGTTAGAAATTAATTTGTACATGGATGGGTCATTGATGGGATGGGTTATTTCCAGATGCATCCTAGTTTAAGCAGGGGGGAGAATTTGTTATTGGTTCGTACTGACGATTGCTACTGATGGTATGGGTTTGGAGGGTAGTTTTACGGTTGTGGAGGAGAGGGTTAAGATAATAAGTTACGAGCAGAAAAGGGAGCCTAAGCTTGGGACGAACGGAAAGACAGGCAGTAGGTTAGAAACGGCTGATGAGGAGGAGGGAGGGACGGGATGGTAGGGAGGGCGGGAGGACGGGAGGCGGAGAGGAGGGAGCGGAGGAGGGAGGGAGGGAGGAGGGAGGGAGGGAGGGAGGGAGGCAGGGAGGGGGAGGGAGGGGGGGAGGGGGAAGGGGAGGGGGGGGGGGAGGGAGGGGGAGGGAGGGGAGGAGGGAGGGGGGAGGAGGGGGCAGGGCAGGAGGGAGGCAGGAGTGGGAGGGGGAGGGAGGGGAGGGAGGGGAGGGAGGGAGGGAGGAGGTGATGGGGATGGGAGGACGGGGGAAGGACGGGGAGGGCGGGATTGGGGAGGGGCGGGGGGAGGGGAGGGAGTGGGGGAGGGGGGAGGGATCTTGATTTCGGGGAATGGGAGGGAGGGAGGGAGGGAGGGCTCGGTTGCTTCTTTGTCTTTCTTTATTTCTTGTTCTTGCTTTATTTCGGCTTTCTGTCGTTTCTTCTTCTTCTTTTTTTCTTCTCTTTCTTTCTTTCTTTTTTCTTTCTTTCTTTCTTTCTTTCTTCTTCTTTCTTCTTTCTTTCTTTCTTTCTTTCTTTCTTTCTTTCTTTCTTTCTACTTACTTACTATACTTACTTACTTATGCCGGCACGAGATGCCCCTAACAGGTGCACCAGTCACTTCGATGCAGTGGCCCAGATTCGTGGAGAGGCCTTCTTTTTCAAAGGTACAGAGAGAGAACAGAGTGTGGCTCTGCCTGCGATCAATATAGAACCCAGCCAAGCATATCTCTCAGAGTTCCACACACACCTTCACACTCCCAAGACAAGGGATAGCCCTAGAGGGGCTTACAAACACACACTCACTACTGTGCACAATCTTGTACATACAAACACTTAAAGAGAGAGAATTACTTTGTATTTCCTCTTTTTTCTTTTCTTACTACTTTTCTTTACTTTCTACTTTCTCTATTTTCCTCCTAGGGAAGTACTTCTGGCGTCTGACGCGGGAGAAGCACCTGGTGTCTCTGCGTCCGGCTCAGATCCACAGGTTCTGGAGAGGCCTGCCTACCAACCTGGACAGTGTGGACGCTGTCTACGAGAGACCTGGGGACCACAAGATCGTCTTCTTCAAAGGTACATAACTCATAAACTCAGCCATGGTCGTGGTGGAGGCAGGGAGGTCCAGGTATTATACCAACTATGTTATGTTAACTATGAAAGGAAGTGTTTTGTTGTAATTTAAAGGTTTTTCATATGTTGGGGCTGGTCAAACGAACGTGTTCTGAGAAACACATGAAAAGAGGTCTATCATGCTACATCCATTTTTGGACTTAAAAATGTACCAATTGATTCTTGAAGAATATAATGTACCCCATCAGAACCCAAAATATAAGCTTGGTTCACTCTAATGTTTGTAAACAAAGTAAATGTAAACACCAAATAGCCTCAAAACATGGTTAAAACTATAATTTGATATCATGGATGGTCAGTCCTTGAATTTCAGAGTGGTTACATTTCTCCAGCTGCATCCCTCAGCTTTTTTACCAAAACAGGGGTGGGGAAACACTTTGTTATTGTTTCTACTGCTGATTGCTACTTTAATGTGTCATCATGGGCTTTGGAGGGTGTTTTTGACGGTTTTATGGATGACAGAGGGTTTAAAATATAATCAAGATTACTAAAGCACAAAACAAGGACACCTCTTACACTTCTTGGTACAAACCTGTGAAAAAAATACACTACCAGTCAAAAGTTTTAGAACACCTACTCATTCAAGGGTTTTTCTTTATTTTTACTATTTTCTACATTTATAGAATAGTGAAGACATCAACTATGAAATAACACATTTGGAATCATGTAGTAACCCATTTTTTTTTTTAAACATATCAAAATATATTTGAGATTCTTCAAATAGCCACCCTTTGCCTTGAAGACAGCTTTGCACACTTGACATTCTCTCAAACAGCTTCACCTGGAATGCATTTCCAACACTCTTGAAGGAGTTCCCACATATGCTGAGCACTTGTTGGCTGCTTTTACTTTACTCTGTGGTCCGACTCATCCCAAACCATCTCAATTGGGTTGAGGTCGGGGGATTGTGGAGGCCAGGTCATCTGATGCAGCACTCCATCACTCTCCTTCTTGGTAAAATAGCCCTTACACAGCCTGGAGGTGTGTTGGGTCATTGTCCTGTTGAAAAACAATTGATAGTCCCACTAAGCCCAAACCAGATGGGATGGCGTATCGCTGCAGATTGCTGTGGTAGCCATGCTGGTTAAGTGTGCCTTGAATTTCACATTTACATTTTAGTCATTTAGCAGACACTCTTATCCAGAGCGACTTACAGTTAGTGAGTGCATACATTTTTCATACTGGCCCCCCGTGGGAATCGAACCCACAACTCTGGCGTTGTAAGCGCCATGCTCTACCAACTGTGCTACAGGAGGCCCAGTAAAATAAATCACAGTGTCACCAGCAAAGCACCACCACACCATAACACATCCTCCTTCATGCTTTACGGTGGGAAATACACATGCGGAGATCATCCGTTCACCCACACCGCGTCTCACAAAGACACAGCGGTTGGAACCAGAAATCTCCTATTTGGACTCCAGACCAAAGGACACATTTCCACCAGTCTAATGTCCATTGCTTTTGGTCCAAGCAAGTCTCTTCTTATTGGTGTCTTTTAGTAGTGGTTTCTTTGCAGCAATTCAACCATGAAGGCCTGAACAGTCTCCTCTGAACAGTGGATGTAGAGATGTGTCTGTGACATGAACATTTATTTGAGCTGCAATTTCTGAGGCTGGCAACTCAAATGAACTTATCCTCTGCAGCAGAAGTAACTCTGGGTCTTCCATTCCTGAGAGCCAGTTTCATCATAGCGCTTGATGGTTTTTGCGACTGTACTTGAAGAAACTTTCAAAGTTCTTGAAATGTTCCGTATTGACTGACCTTCATGTCTTAAAGTAATGATGGACTGTTGTTTCTCTTTGCTTATTTCAGCTGTTCTTGCCATAATATGGACTTGGTTTTTTACCAAATAGGGCTTCTGGATACCCCCCCCTTCCTTGTCACAACACAACTGATTGGCTGAAACGCATTAAGAAGGAAAGAAATTCCACACAATTTACTTTTAAGAAGGCACACCTGTTAATTGAAATGCATTCCAGGTGACTACCTCATGAAGCTGGTTGAGAGTGCCAAGAGTGTGCAAAGCTGTCATCAAAGCAAAGGGTGGCTATTTGAAGAGTCTCAAATATAAAATACATTTTGATTTGTTTAACACTTTTTGGTTACTACATGATTCCATATGTGTTATTTCATAGTTTTGATGTCTTCACTATTATTCTACAAGGTAGAAAATAGTAAAAATAAAGAAAAACCCTTGAATGAGTAGGTGTTCTAAAACCTTTGACCGGTAGTGTATATATCTCTGTCTGTATTTTAAAGTCAATTGAATAGTTTAATCACAAAACACATTTAATCACAAGTCACTTTCATTCAGTTGAGTTATTAAATTAAACAAGCGATCCAGTTCACTCTAGTTGATTGACGTTCCTTTGTCCCGCCTCCTCAGGACTGAAGTATTGGATATTCAAGGACAACAACGTGGAGGAGGGTTATCCTCGGCCAATCAGTGACTTCGGCCTGCCTATGGAGGGCGTGGACGCAGCCTTCGTGTGGCTCCACAACTACAAGACTTACTTCTTCAAGGACAACCGCTACTGGCGCTATGACGACCATCTACGGCGTATGGATCAGGGCTACCCCAAAGACAGCACACTGTGGAAGGGGGTCCCGCCCCAACTAGACGACGCCATGCGATGGTCTGACGGTGAGTATTAGACAGACACACACACAGATCAACATGCTAAACATACACATTTACTCTAAAATACACACTCCATATACACATATAGCTCACTTCTAAAAACGAAATACAAGCTGAAATTCTTACACATTCAGTACACTACACTTGACAGTACACCAAAATAATGGAAGCAGTAGTAAAAAAGAACACAAAAAGAATAGAGTACCTGAGTGTATGTCATTCATGCCTGCCCTCAGGGTCCTGACAGGTCTACTTCTACATTACATCCACTACTAGCCCACACTGGGTCCTTTTCGTCTCCCCCCTCCCTGCCCTCTAACTCTCTCAGACTGGAGACTAATCTAGTCAAAAACAGCCCAGGTCATTGATCAGTCAAGCCTGCCTAAACCACCGTCCTGGTGGAGCCTGCTGTGCATTCTAAAGCCCTCAATGCAGACGGCCCCTAACAGGTCATTTGATATTGTCTTTTGATCTGGAGTGTGGTCTGGGAATTATAGGTCAGTGTCCCAAATGGCACTATATTCCCTATTTAGTGCACTACTTTTAACCAGGGCCTATAGGGCTCTAGTCAAAAGTAGTGCACTGTATAAGGAATGGGGTGTCATTTGGGATGCAACCATAGTGTTTCCATTGCCGAGCCCGTGTTTTCATTGTTGGGTTGTCATGGCAGCAATCGCCTGCAGCTGAGATGTGTGTGTCTGTGTGTGCAGGATGGTGCTAGGGCATCATGTCCCAGCTATTGCACAGCACTATTCATGCCTATTTCAGAGTCAGACCCTAAGCAGTGGAGGGCCAGTCTAACAGTAATTCAAGTACACTCACAGTCTGACACATTGGTCAATCAAATCCCAACAAAGCACACATGCAGTATACAGCCCTCACCTCTCACACAAACTCAAGCACACACACAAACAAGCATATACTGTAGCTACAAACACATAGAACAGCTTATCAAACATATGCAAACAGTATAGTGACCACAAGTTATCAAAACCCCTTCTTCAGTAGCACACACAGCCATTTTACACACTCACTCTACAGTGCATAAACACACGCATGGCCAGCTCCAGCCCAGTCTCCACATGAGCCAGTTAGATCCTTTCTCCCCTGTAGCGACTCCTGTGGCTGAGTGTATGTAAGCGCTTTCCTTCGTCATGTGCTGGGCTCTGTACCGCTGCCAACTCTAGAGGTCCTGCTCGGAGCTGTTTGATGTGTGTGTGAGCACAGGCCACACGCACAAATGACAGTCTGAGCCACAAGAGGATACATACATACATACACGTGGACCCTGGGGGCCTGGGAACTGGAAGCACGTCAAAGACCTCAGGAAGAAAGAGTGCGGAGAGAGGTGGATGTGGTGACAGGGAAGGAAAGAGAGGGAGAGATGGTGGTGCTAGGGAGGATGAGAGCGAGGGAGGGAGAGATAGCGGCTTGGAGAGAGAGGAGACAGCTAGACAGGGAATGACAGAGATTAAGGAGGGGGGGAAAGAATACATATGAGAGAGGAAGAGAAGGAGAGTTTGTTGTGGAAAAATGAACTGGTGAATAGCGAGAGAGGGACTGGTAGGAAAACAGCGCGACAGAATCAAGCGACATTGATGTATTAGCATAGCAAAATAAATCATCATCACACCCTCTTTCTCACTGATGCAGCCTCTTTGTCCTCTTCTTTTCACTAAGGCTCCTCATACTTCTTCAAGGGGAAGGAGTACTGGCGTGTGGTAGGCAGTGATATGGAGGTGGAGGCCGGGTACCCACAGCCCATAGGAAAGGACTGGCTGGTGTGTACAGAGATGCAGTCGGACTCCCCAGCCACAGAGGCCAATAACACGGCTAACACGCGGCTACACGGGTCAGCACCACGCCGACCATGCCGAAAATGGCTACGAGGTGTGCTCCTGCACCTCCGACTCGGCCTCGCCCTTTGGAGCCCAGCCCTCGCCCTCCCCCCTCTGGCTGCTCGCCCTTCTCTTGACTCTCTCTGGGGTACTATCCTACGTCCCTCTATGATGTAAGCAGAGGGGAGCAGCCTCACTCTGTGACAGGAAGTACAGCAGCAAATCTGCTGAGAGCTGGGGAGTGGCTTAAGGGGCTTTTCGCTTGGGTACTGCCAGACCAGCTACACCATCGAATCAAAACGATGACTGGAGGAATTTGTTGTTATTGTTATTATCTTAATTGGGATGCTCATTGTTAATTTGTTTTTTTAATGTTTTATTTATTATACAAAATCATTCTCAATGGATCAATATGCTTTCAAATTAATAATGTTTAAATTATGATATTGAATTAGAAATGTGATAACATGACAATAATGGAAATAGTTTATCAATTTGATGATAATAATGATAGTTTATAGCCAAAAATGTGACTAAGCAGTCTAGCAGGAGAGTGGTACTCTGGGATGCTGTGCGCCCTTGTCCCTTTGTTCCTGCAATCACTATAAGAGCTTTAAAGTAACTGTCCAGTGTTTTGGGATTTCTGTGAAATATGACGTTTTATTAATTACAATATTAGTGAAATAGTTTTCCTTCCAAATTGATTTAAGTATGTTTAAAAGCAGCTTTTCTTTGTTGTAGTGTTGTGGGCGTACCCCAACAACAGAATGGTGTTGGCGTATACCGGTCATTAAAAATATTCACGCGAGTAGACCACTGATTGGCTAGCTCATCTTCCTCTGGAAGATGACCAGCCTCTCTGAGGAAATAGCAAGCATTTTTTTAATGGTTTGAGGTGGGGTTTTTCAAGTATTTTGTCTCCAATTTATGCTTTGACCACAAATACTAGTATAGGATGAGTCAACAACATTATTTATGTATGAGTTAACAGAATATTAACTTTTAAAAGTTAGATTGTCACTGGAAAGTTACTTTAAGAACCCTCACACACACACACACACACAAAGACCACTTCATGTGCGTTTTTTACGGTCTGAGCTAGCGGGACAAATGCTTCTGTCTCCACTCACTCATTCAATTGGTAATGTCTGGGCTGGCTGGATGGACACTCCCCTATCATTGGACAGCTTGTTCTCCCACTTCTAATGTCAGGGCTATCTGGATGTAATGGACACTACTTCCTGTAATGACACTGACTCCTTCCTTGACTGCACTCACTTGCCCTTTTGTGACCTTTGCACCTGTATCTTTCTTTTTTTTCTCAGCTCAGATACAGTAGCACCTACTGCCATCATTAGAGAGGGTAACCCATTAGTATTGATTATTAGGATGTATTTTTGTAATAAACACAGAGAGATTTGTGGTCGAGCGCTACTCGGGGATGGTCATGATGGGGTTTTCACGATGTCTTGGTCTGGTCTGGTCAGTGGTCACCACAGTGGTCAGCGATACCCAACGGTCACCCAGGGACGCCTTTCTCCTTCTCCATTGGATGTCTCTCCTAACATGAACTATCTCTGAGGATAGGGGGATGTCTGGGTAACAGGACAGAGGCTGGACATGGATATCCACCAGCTGCCTGCTGAGAGGAGGGCACCCACTCAAAACACAACTAGATTTATTAATATTGCTAAGATATATTTACTTACAGTCTCTATATACAGATCTATTTGAGGTGAAAAGTTCTATGGCAGTTGCAAAAAAAACGTACATTTCTCAGCCGTCTTTTCTAAGGTGAAATATTTTTGTAGAAAAATAAAGAGGGGGTAAGACAGAGTGTACTGGGTCGTGTAATGATTTTGTGTCACAGGGAGCCCAGGCTGAACAGAAAGAGGAGGACAATGCGTCAGCTGCCGTCACAGGCTGGTATTTACTTTCTTTTCTGTGTTGTTGGGAGCCATGTTTCTTATGTACAGGCGCATTTTATTATTTCCTCACTGCAAAACAAACCATGCCAATTAAGTTGTACTCTCCTGTTAACAAGCCATCTTCTTCTACATGCATTCCTTGTTTCAGATCTGTTTATTCAGGATTATGTGTAATACATGTGTATATGTGTGTTTTGTGATAGAATTCAGTGACTTTTGAGAATAAGTCTGAACAATGTTGACTCAGTGAATAGAGCCAATAACACTCCAGATACTGTATTATTGACTCAAGGAAAAAGAAATGTGAGGCAGACACTCAAGCAGACACACAATGCATGGCATGAGGATTGAAACAAACCGTTTTCCAGCAGTGGAGGCTGATGAGGGGAGAACGGCTCATAATAATGGCTGGAATGGATTTAATGGAATGGTATCAACCACATGCATGTGTTTGATACTATTCCATTCACTTCATTCCATCCATTATACTCCATTCCAGACATTATTATGAGCCGTCCTTCCCTCAGCAGCCTCCACTGTTTTCCAGTATTAAAAAATGAGCACGCAGAGAAAGCAGCAGTACGTGCCATGTGTTTTTGCAGTCCAGAGGCTGCAGCAGTCGAACTTGGGGAGAAAGTGTCTGACTAATTTCATGGGTTACATAAGCAGCACAATGCCAGGTCAAAATAAAGGATCCACAAAGGAGGAAGGAACTGAATTATTGCCAATTGACTGCATTTAAAGTAGCAAAAGACTCCAGAGGGGTCTTTGTACAGGGCAAAAGATCATTCAGTTCAAAGAGTTTAAAATTTCAGGGAAGATCATGGCAAGCTGTTTCAACCAGAAAGGTCATGACCATGTCGATCACAATGGGCCTCATCTCAGTGGTTGGAGTTGACCTCTGCACAACTCTGCTACACTACATACAACCCTTCTTACCTGAATTTGCACATATCAGTACTGTCTACATTGTATATAACGTTATTTATATGAGCCATGAGCCAGCACATACTGCGTTTGTCAGTCTGATTTTAGATGGAAATATCTTTTGACCTTAGTTCTTCTGCAGATGGGATATTTGACACACACACACCTCTTCAGTAATAACCCTTTCTGATGTGGCTCCTCATGGCGCTGTACAACCACTACTACAATAAGACATGACACATGGTGCACCACACTGACTACTGGAACAGTAAAAGTTAACGTTGCACTGGCTGAGGTGCTCTGGCTCTTGGATCTCAATTTCCCAAACCGCCCCCTCCTCTACACACAACCTTTAAGGCAGAGTCTAGAGAGGCTGCATTGCTACTGTGTGTCTGTGAGTCTGTCAGGATGGGGTTTGCTGAGCAGGAATGCAGCAGTGGATGTTTCATGTGACGTCCTGGCTATCATTTAGGCTACTACTGGGGAGGGTGGGGGGGTGAGGGAGGCATTCTACTACTAGGCTACTACTGGGGAGGGTGGGGGGGTGAGGGAGGCATTCTACTACTAGGCTACTACTGGGGGAGGGTGGGGGGGGTGAGGGGAGGGAGGCATTCTACTACTAGGCTACTACTGGGGAGGGTGGGGGGGGTGAGGGAGGCATTCTACTAGGCTACTACTGGGGAGGGTGGGGGGGTGAGGGAGGCATTCTACTACTAGGCTACTACTGGGGAGGGTGGGGGGGTGAGGGAGGCATTCTACTACTAGGCTACTACTGGGGAGGGTGGGGGGATGAGGGAGGCATTATACTACTAGGCTACTACTGGGGAGGGTGGGGGGGTGAGGGAGGCATTCTACTACTAGGCTACTACTGTAGTGCTGCACTTCCTTCCACCTAAGACACCAGTGTGTTGCCAATGTTTTATGTTAATGTAAGCTCTAGTGTAATTGTGTTTCCATCAGGAGTGTGACACTAAAGACTTGGGGCAGGCAGAATCAACAATCTCTGCATTATGAAGACAGCTGCTTTGTGAGAAGGTGTTAAAGTTCACAGTTAGCCATTGTTATGTATATGCCTGCTGAAAAGTACCAGTGGCTTTGCATCAGCCCCAAGTCAGAGCAGGTCCGCTGGAGCCATGGCCCAGTGAGTCAAGGGGCCTGCCCGCGTAGATGGAAACAGAAAAGTCTGAGCCTTTTCGGTGAAACACTGGGGTATATCTCAGATGGAAACTTGATATACCGTGTCGCTCATCCACAGTACCTCACCTCTAGCTCCCGTGTCCTCACTTTAGTAGACCTGCACTGCCCCCTGGTGGTGAAAACAAATTCACTACTTGTGATAACGTGCAAAAACTATTTTTTGTTAAAGTAAGCACTTGCAAATAAATGTGCAAAAAAATGACAATAATAGAATGATAAAGGTAGATGGATGATGAACCAATCAGAGGGATGAAGGTAGCATATGGAACTCAGGTGGAGAAGACAGGAAAAAGGCTGTGGAGTCTGAGAGGGAGGCCAGTGTCTGAATAGGAAAGAAAAGAATACATGAAGACATTGAGAGGGTAAAGAGTGGTGGAGCAGCACATAGGCCTAGTCAGCTGAAAACGTTCAATCTGAGAAACAGAACAGAAATATGGCAGAAGTTAAATATGAGTTTCACGCATTAATAAAATTACATACTGTTGACATTTATGGAACAACTATGGAAAAATGTACAGATAATGTACATACTGCTAAATGACGTAAATGATACTGTACCTCAACCGTCTTTTCTGCCATATGCTCATGCATTTCTTCTCAGAATCTGTGAAGTCCTCTGTGACATACTCTTGCTGTTGGTCCTCACACACTTAGCCCCTCAGACCATTTTGTTTTCTTTTGGCATCCCACCTCTCATACCACTCCTCCCTGCTCAATTCGTTTTGGTCTTTCTTTTTGGCTTTCTCCTTAGCTCTCTCCCGCTGAAGTTTTTGCCAGGCCTCTTCCCACTTCTGCCTCTTCTCCTCCTCCCTTACAGTGAGGGAAAAAAGTATTTGATCCCCTGATGATTTTGTACGTTTGCCCACTGACAAAGAAATTATCAGTCTATAATTTTAATGGTAGGTTTATCTGAACAGTGAGAGACAGAATAACAACAACAAAATCCAGAAAAAACGCATGTCAAAAATGTTATAAATTGATTTGCATTTTAATGGGGGAAATAAGTATTTGACCCCCTCTCAATCAGAAAGATTTCTGGTTCCCAGGTGTCTTTTATACAGGTAACGAGCTGAGATTAGGAGCACACTCTTAAAGGGAGTGCTCCTAATCTCAGCTTGT